TGGTGACTGCTTCTACCTCAGATTCTATTAGTTTCTCCAGCTTGTATAACAGTTGATAAAATTGGGCCAGCCGAGTGGCTCAGTTGTTTAAGAGCTCGCTCAGCTCTTGAGCAACAGTGGTTGCTGGTTTGATTCCTGGCCCGAGCTGAGCTGCTGCTGAGCTGCCACCCGGTGGAAGGATGGCTCAGCTAAAAACAAATAAATAAAAGAGTTGGTAAAATTATCATATTTTATAAATATGAAAAAATGTGGGGAAAACAAATTGACATAGTTTACCCATTTCTGAAGGGGGTTAATAAATCAGATTATAAGATCTTTTAAAGTGTAATGGAGTAAGCTCCTGTTCGAAACATCCCTTTTTTAAAGCAATGTTACCATATCAAGGCAAAAAATCCAAAGATTTCTAAAACATATTTCTACTTTCATGCTTTAAATCTGTTGACTCAGAATTTTTTCTTCCTAAAACGGTAATTCTCGGGGTTGGGTGAGGAAGGAGAAAAATTGGTTTAGACTGTGAGTTTAATTAAAGATTTTGTTGCTAGGTTACAAAATGAGAAGCAAAATTATTCCTATTAAACAATTTAAAAGTTTAATATCTAACCTATAATTGTATGAGAAGAAAATTTTGTATAACATTCTAATCAAGAGGATTCTTTGGAAAACATAAACGGGTTTAACAATTTTGGTCTGAAATGGTTTGTGCCTTCTCCCTGATTTTACCAGCATTACAAAAACAATGTGAACACAATGTTCTAGTTTGTACAACTCTTGGACTTATTTTGTTGTGAAAAGCCCAATTATTTGGAATGGCTTAAATTTCCTCTACTATTTTTTTCTGGTCCTATACACTAGCATCGATTTACTTCAGATTATAAAGTTGAAAAATAAAGAGTTCGGCTAAATTAATGATAAGTAATGTTTTTATAAAAAGAGATTATTTTGTATAATGCTAAAAGATCATAGACTTGATGTGTCAATTTACATTATGATTTCCAGATCCTTAGTTAACTTTAGGACCATAAACTAAGAGTGACTTCAGTTGATAATAAACAATTTTTGGGTGCTTGAACAACATAAAATATGCCCACTGTTATTTAGTACAATACAGGCTGCAGAAACAGGTTGAAAGTCGTGTAGATGTTATGTAGGGTTATGTTCATGGAAATCAAGATTTTTTTTAAGAAAGGCAAAAAAATGTGAAAATCAATATAACAGATTACAACTACACAAGCTGGAATGAAGCACTCTTTAAAAAAAATTTAATCATACATTTTATTTAATCTAACTAGTATATCCACAATATTAACATTTCAACATGTAATAAATCTAAACAATATGAATGAGATATTTTATACTTTCTTATTCCATGTCTTCACATCCAGTGTTTATTTTTATACTTAAAGCCCATTCAATCACCCTTTAAATGTCATTTTGTCATAATTGAACTTTCAAATTTCAAGAGAAAAAAAAATTCCTTGAGAACTTAACATAGATCATGAACCAGTATGTCATCAGAACACTTGTAAAAGAACAACTTTGTAGATTATAATGACAAGTGTTGATTGTCCTTGCCCATAAAACAGAGCTAACAAAGGTTAAACACTCCGGTTAGGACCTTTACTCTTGAACTCTCCCAGGTGCTGGGACGTGGCCGGCTCTTCCCACCCCGCCTTTCCCCAGGCTGTCACCCCGCCTTTCCCCAGGCTGTCACCCCGGCTTCCCTCCCGCCTGAGCGTCCACGTCGTCGTTTCCCAAGGAAGCCTCCTCTGACCACCTGTGCCCATTACGAAGTCTCCTAACCCTCGGAATTGCCGCGTTGAGCTTCTCACAGCTGTAATAATTTAATTGTGTGTGTGATTCTTAGTTTAGTGTCCGTCTTCCTTGCTGTGAGGGCTGTTTTCACTCGCTTTCTGCCTCACCACCTCCCTGGGTGCGAGGCAACTGTACATGCCCAGAGGGCTCGGTCAACATTGGCTGAATGAGTAAATGAAGGACGATGGTAGCAGGGCAGCTCAAAGACACTGGGTCAGGGAAATTAAGTCAGGAGGTTTGTTTTGTGGTTTTATGGGGTCTCCTGGGTCAGTTACTCACAGAGGGACAAGAACTATTGAAGGAGATGCAATTTTGAGAACAGCGGGTTCAAAAATCAGAATAGAAGAGTTTGGAGTTATGTACTGTTACAATCGCTCAGTCAATAAGTACTTTACTAAGTATCTACTATGTGTCAAGCACTGGGGGTGGATACAAAGGTGAAGAAAACGAACTCAGTTCCTGCGTTCACTGTGTTTACAGTCTGGCCGGGGAGGCCGACATTCACGAGACACCTACCTCTACATGCCAAATGTACAGTGATAACTGAGTCAGGTGCTGGGAAGGGAGGTCCGAAGTGCTCTGACAGCCCCAGCTGGAGGTTTCCCTCACGGGAAGGTGCCTGCCGAGCCACAGTGGGAAGGAGAAAGACGAGTGACTGGCCAAAGGTGGGCCCGTTGCGGGGCAGTTCTCCATGGGTCTCACATTTCTGCGTCTCTTAGGAGCTGAGGCACCGGCTGTGAACTCCCACACCACACCACCTTTACAATGATGTTTCTGTAGCCAACAGCCTTGGAAATACACAGTGTTTCCCTCTGGAGCAAAAGGCAGGTTTGTTTACTGTCCAGTAAAATGAAGATAACATCTCCCTCCAGGTCCAAGGAGAGGCAGTCTTACTGCCCATTATAAAAGATCGTGTTCCTTACACTCAGAGCTCCCCTGCTGGGTTGCACAAGCTGCTCCAGCCTCCCCCTCCTGGAACTTGGGGCCAAGAAAAGTGTGTTGGAGGACTGTAGCTGGGGCATTAAATTTAGACTATGCAGATTACGACTTGCAGACCAAGGAGAAACAAGTTGCCCACACCTGGTCGGCAAGTAGCTGTCAGCATCCAAGCTTCCACTTTGGGGAAATGAAAACCCCAAGGCCGTTCTGGTTGAAAGCAATTTCAATATACACCCAGGGTCTGCAGTGCGCCAGGAGAAGGGCTGTCCCCTGTCCCCAGCCACCAGCGAGCAGCAGATGGGAGCAGGCACCTATTGCTTATAAGGTGGTGGGGGCAGAGGTCACCAACTGCCACGTGCTCAACTCTTAAGTGGCTATTATAAAAAGGTGCCCCAGAAAATGTAGAGCAGAAACTAGTGGCAGGACCCTAAGTCGGGTCAGCAGGGCTGTCACGCTGAGATGCCCAGGCAACCACTCAGGATAGCCGCTGCTTCCTCACAGGAAGTGACACAAACATGATGGTCATGCTGCTTGCTGCATCATGAACAAGTCTTCTGTCTCTCTCCTAGGTTCTGGTGTCTCCAGCCAGAATCCATGAAACTGGCTGTCTCATTAGCTTGCAAGTAGCATAAAGCCTTCATAGTTAGTGACAGACACGTAGACAGCGTATGCAAAGACTCCGTGGTGGGAGACAGTGCAGCAAGTGCTTGGATTTGGAGGAGGGTGGGTGGGGTATAGGGAGGGAAGGGACAGGGTGACCTGGGCTGCTGAGCCTTGGGACCTTGGCCAACCCCACTGAGGCAGGCCCAGGGCCACTGGTCGTGAAGCCACTTTCATGCAGAACATGTGAAATTAATAAAATGAGTTTGGGGGAGCACACAACAACTAGTCTTGGGCCAGTCCGAGCCTATGAAGTAATTGTTAACTAAGGAAGAGAGCGAAAATAGGAGGTGTTTTCTTAACATCCTACATCCTGTTATGAAAATTTTTGTATGCATGATACTTTGTAACACCTCAGTTGGAGATTAGAGGAAGTCCACTTCTCAGGGCCCCAAATAAAGGAGGAGAAGTTATCACCGCCTTTCACTGCTGTCCATCACCGAGGCAAAAAAGGAGTCAGTGGCCTCAAAACGGAGCAGCTCTGATGCTTTAGTATTCACAGAGTACAACTCCGGACACACTGCTTTCTGTCCACTCCTCTTACAGTAAAAAGGAGGGGGACTCGTTCCAGTTTTACTGACAGAGGAAAGGAAATGAGGGAGACAGAGACAGAGGGAGAGAGCTCACCGAGAGCCAACATCAGAAGGTCACCTAATGTCACTGTAGAAAGAAAAGGACTTTGTTGACAAGCCCTCTTCCCCAATCTAGCTCTTGGTGTTCTGAACTTTTCACTCACTGCCTGTTAATTAATTTACAGCCTGCAGAGAAAGGAGTTGTGCTGGATCGCTGGCCAAAAAGTGTCTCCACAAGCAGGGCTCCACCCTGCACAGCCCTTTTAGAAAGTTCTGGTCTTATGCTAAGACTGGCGAGGACTCATGAGGGAGGGCTGGGCTTCAGAAGCAACACTGGGAGCGGAGCAGAGGTTGTGGAAATTACCCATCTGAGATGATCAGGAGTCGCCCGTGTTCCCTCTTGGCATTTTGCTGCGCCAGCCCCAGGCATGCAGCAGACCCTTTCTGCTCATTCTAAGTGGCATTTCAAACAGAAAGCACCAGCCCTAGAGTGTTCTCCGGAGCTTCCCAGTCCTCTCTGACTTTTCCTTTAAATAATCAGCACGTGGTTGTTACAAGGCCTCTTCTCTCAAGCCAGGCTGTGGGAAAACAGCTCCCCGAGAGAGCTTGAGGGGGAGCGTGGGTCAGGCGGGGTGCTGGGCTTGGGGAGAAAGTCAGGAACAGCCTTGTCTGAGGCTCTGTGAGTTACAGTTTCAACCCAGCCAAGGGCCAAGGCACACGGGCTGCCAGAAATGCCCGGAAAGTGCTGGCTAGAAAAGCTGCAGACGTGGGAGGGAGGTCTTTGGAAGCGAGGCTGAGTCACCCCAGGAGCCCCAGGCGGTCAGTTGGTGGCTCTTTTGCTGGCAGGGGCCTCATGGAGGGGGGCCCAAGTTTTCAAAATCGCCTGGTTTCTCAATCACCCACTAGGGCCCCAGTGCTCCTCCCCCAAAGCCCCAGCCTGGCAGCTCCGTCACTGACAGCTCGGTTTCCATAAATGGGATGGTTCGGGGCCCTGGGAGTGCAGGGGGACAGGTATAAAGAAAGTGGGAGGCCCACGCACACGGGACGAGGCCACACCTGCCCCCTCTCTGCTGCAGCCAGGATGGGTCGGGGGGTGGCTTGCGCAGGTCTCTAGGTTGGGGGTGCTCAGGGAAGGGCCCCAACAGCCCACAGAGCCACTGGCCAAGGAGTCTTGTCTCCTACCTGCCCGGGGAGGGCTCTAACCCTGGCTTTCTCCTCAGGCTCGGTGGTCCTGGTCCTGGCGCTGCTCCAGAGCTGTGAGTAACCCCCTTTTAGATCCTGGGGGTCCTGGGGGGCAGGGGTGTGGGGAGGACGTGCACAGGAGGTACTGGCAGAGGGGAGCACTTTTCCAGCTTCTGTGGTTCAGAAGGCTCAGACATATTAACACTGGTTAAATGGAGGTGATAAGTATTTTTATGTCTGTTATATTATACTACTTCTACTTTTCTGTATATTAGAAATGCTTCAAACTAAGAATCTTTCAAAGGCTCAGGCTCAATGAAAACCTGTTGGGAATCACTGCTGGGATGAGCGCCAGCCTCTGCTCCTCCCCCATCACCAGGCAGGCAGACAGACTCCCTTTGCAACAGGAGGGATTAGGATGAGAGCAGAGGAAGGACTTCCTGGTCCCTTGACACCGTGCCCCAGCTCGGGTGTGGGCTGAGGGGACCTGGGGACTGCTGCTCTGGGTGGGTTACAGGTTAGGGGCAGAGAACAGAGGGACCAGACCCTGTCAGCCAAGGGCCTGGCAAGGCCCCACCCTGCAGCCAGGTCTGTGACTCTGGCTGTGTTGGGCTGGGTCCCCTGCTCTTCGGAGGCTCTGGGACGCCTTCTTTGCTTGCAGCAGGCCCCATTTCATCCTGTTCTTGGTGTGCAGTGTGCTCACACAGCAGGCTCTCCTCCAACCATTTTCACAATAGGCCTGATTTCCACAGGACCGGGAGTCTGCTTTCACTTAGCATTCCAAGTGCTCACGCTGCCTCCCCACAGCCTGGAGCTGACCTCAGGGTTCAGCAGAGGCCCCCCCCCCCAAAACTCCTCCTCAGGTGCAGCATACAAGCTGGTCTGCTACTACACCAGCTGGTCCCAGTACCGGGAGGGTGACGGCAGCTGCTTCCCCGACGCCGTGGACCCCTTTCTGTGCACCCACGTCATCTACAGCTTTGCCAACATCAGCGACAACGAGATTGACACCTGGGAGTGGAATGACGTGACGCTGTACGGCACACTGAACACACTGAAGAGCAGGTGGGGCCACGGGCTGGCCAACCTGGAGGGACACGGGGTTGCTGGGCTGCTCCCAGGCTGGTCACCTGTGCCCAAGAGTGCGGCGAGGGCCCCCGCGCTCACCTCTGGGTGGATACCTGGAGGCCTTGGCAGGTGTCGGGCAGTATTTGGGCTGATGGTCCAGGCCGATGGGAGAAGAAGCCAGTGCTGAGCTCCTCTGCGAGCAGGCGCCCACCCCCATCTGCCTCTCCAGGAAGCATGGAGACCGTTCACATTCTGTTTTCCATATGCTAACGTGGGGGACAAAAGTAGCCTATGATGTCAGAATACTGGACCTGAGAGCTGGAAGGGCCTCCGAGGCCCAAGTCAGCCTCCCAAACATGGGAGGCTGTGTCACAACAACTTTACTCCACCCTGCCCCCTCTCCCTGTGCCCACAGGAACCCCAACCTGAAGACTCTCCTGTCTGTTGGAGGATGGAACTTTGGTTCTCACAGGTATGACTCACTGCCCAAGGATAATGGGATACAGGTGAGGAGGCGTAGGTCTCCACTCACCCACCACATGGGGGCCACGGGGCGACGTGCAGGGTCCTAAATTATTGTCAGGGGCCTGCCTCGTGGGACGCCAAGAAACCAGAGCCCACAGCGGGAGAGGGACTTGCCAGAGTCACACAGCAAGGTGACAGTGGATGTTCTCCTTCCTCGCCAACTCTCTTTTTACCCTCAGGCCTGACAACAAAGGTCTTCTGAGGGATACGTCCTAAGGGCTGGAAGGACACAGATGGAAAGGATGAGGAAGTTGAGGAGTAGGGACCCTGGAGGACTTGCTGGAGTGGGTACAGCTGGAATAGGGCTGGAAAAGGGCGTGGGGTACGGCCCCAACAGCTCCCACTTACTGACTGATTTCTAAGTGTGAGATACCTTTCCAGCCATTGTCACATGTGATCCGCACAGTCGCACTGAGATATTATATTTACCCCATTTTCCAGATGAGGTCACTGAGAGTCAGGTTAGAGCCTGTTCAGAGCCAGGCTTGGAACCCAGGGATGTCAGACTCCAAAGCACATACCTGCAAGTGCCTCCTGTGCCGACCGTGGCCTCCTGGGGCTCTGGGCTCACGGTCTCCGTTCCTCGTGGCTCAGAAACTCCTCCAGAGGGCTGAAGCACCCAGTGATTTGACCACTCTCCTGGTATGGTTTCGGTCCTAGGTTCTCCAAAATAGCTGCCAATGCCCAGAGTCGCAGGACTTTCATCAAGTCAGTGCCACCCTTTCTGCGGGCCCATGGCTTCGACGGGCTGGACCTCGCCTGGCTGTACCCTGGACGGAGGGACAAGCAGCATCTCACCAGTCTGGTCAAGGTGCTGATTGGGGCAGGGAAGGGGCTGGCGCCAGGGCGTGAGCTGGGCAGACGTTGCCTCCACCTGAGGGCCTACTGAGGGCAGGTGAAGAGGGACTGAGGCACCCAGGCTTCAGGGTCCTGGGACCTGGGCCAGGAAGACCAGCAGGCCTGTGTGCTGAGCACTCGCAGAGCACGAAGATGCCTGTGATCACGGCAGGGGCGGGGCAGGGCCCTAAGGGGCAAAGCACCCACTCATCACTGCCCACTCAGTGGAGTGTCACTGTGTCAGGGACACTCAGCCACATCTGGAGACAGGCCAAGCGTGTCCAGTTACCCCAGGGCAGAGCATCTAAAAAAATTGTCCACAGCACCAACATAAGGCTCCCGAATTTTGCGGTCTCATGTGCCAGCTCGAACAAGGCACAGACCAAAAGGCAAATTTCTTTCCACATCATCCGTGGGCCAACATAGCATGTCCCATCATTCGAGAGCTATCATGGTCCCTCCAGCAGAGGAGTGAGTGAGTAGAGATGGGTGTGACGAGGGCTTCTGGAGACGAGACTGGCCTCAACAGGTCTTTAGGAAAAATGGGTGCACCCCAGTCAGGCTGCCACCCCAGCCCACAGACCAGGCCAGGGAGGGGCTTGAGGTGCCGCCTCCCCGCTCAGGCCCCTCCCACAGCCCGGTCTGTCCCTTGCCTGCCTCTCTCCCAACCAGGAGATGAAGGCTGAGTTTTCGAGGGAGGCCCGGGAGGGGACAGAGCGGCTCCTGCTCAGCGCGGCTGTGTCTGCTGGGAAGGTGGCCCTTGACCAAGGATACAACATCGCCCAGCTAGCCCAGTGAGTTCCCCTCCAGCAGTGAGAACCTTGCTGTGTGAGCTTGAGCAAGTCACTTCCCTCTCTGTGCCTCAGTGTCCCCATCTGCCCACGGGGCACCGTGAGCCCTGTCCTTCCTTTCCCATTTGGGGTGCTGTGCCGACGAGCTGAGCGTTTCTTTGAGGAAAAGGCAGGAGGAGAAGCTAAAGACCGGGCACTTGCTGTGTGCCGGGCTGCTCGCTGCAGACCCAGTGGCAGTGCTGGCACTTGTCCTTTCCAGACTGCCAGGGAGCCCTCCTCACCTGCCCCGCATTGAGAGGGAGCGGATTGGGGCCTGATCTCTGGGGGACGAGGCCCTGTCACTTCAGAATTGCCTTTCCGATGACCTCAGGGAGCTGCAGACTCGGAGCTCAGATGGATCACTTAGGGAGTGGCCATGAGGCGGCTCTCACATTTGCCCCAAACACCTGAAGCTCGCGTTCATGCAGCCGCTCACCTGTGTGTGGGTCGCAGATGTGGGCCAGCCTTTGGTCCTGCTATTTTCTCACAGCTGTCTGTCGGTGCCACTTTTAATCTGCACTCACTGAGATGAACTTGGTGGGAGTGAGGGCTAGATGATATGTCACCCCCAAATGTGTGCTGCGGCAGAATGGAAAGGTCCCATTCCCACCTTAAGTGTACATGTGGGGCCCCAATCCCCCCTGGGTGTGGTCACTGGTCACCACTGGGTTTGGGTGGGTGGCTGCCCGCATGCTCTGCTCACACCCTGCTTGGTGGTGGTCGTGAAGCCGAGAGCTTCTCCAATGCCCACCTCGGCCCCCACCCCTCCTCCCAGACACCTGGACTTCATCAACCTCATGACGTACGACTTCCACGGTGCCTGGCGCCAGACCACCGGACATCACAGCCCCCTGTTCCGAGGCCAGAAAGATGCACGTGCTGACAGGTTCAACAACGTTGTGAGTGCCCGGAAGGACGGGGGCTGGCCGGTGCCCACATGCCACCCCTCACTCCTCAGTCCCCTGCAAGGGAGGCGCCATGGGCCTACTTCACAGATGAGGAGACCGAGGCCCCACGTCGATGTGTCCTCCAGGCTCTAGGAGCACAGGGCTCCACCTCTCGGTAAAGGAGCAGGACCTCCCTGACAAGGCCGCAGGGCACAGTGGAGGCGGAGGCCAGGCTGGGGCTGAGGGCCAGGAGTCTGGTCTAGGCTGCTCGTCCTATGGAACCTGAGCCAGTCACCGGATCTCTGCGACTGTCACGTAGTAACAATCCTGTCCTGTGCTCCTGAGGGGCTTTTGAGAATGAAACGGTACAATGTATCTTAGACTTGACATGGTCCCAGAAAGAAGGGGCATCCTACGGCCTGTGGGGACGGACCCAGCCTTCCTGGCTAACCACTGCCCCTCTCCCCACCCAGGACTACTCCGTGGGCTACGTGCTGCGGCTGGGGGCCCCGGCCGAGAAGCTGGTGATGGGCATCCCCACCTTTGCGAAGACCTTTACCCTGGCCTCTTCCGAGACGGGTGTGGGAGCACCCACCTCAGGGCCTGGAACAGCTGGCCGATTCACCAAGGAGGAAGGAACCCTGGCCTACTATGAGGTATGACTTGGGGAGAAGGGAAGACTCCCACTGCACCCCACTTTGCTCCTTTGGGGATAAGAACAATGTCCAATGGACTGGGTGAGGGGGAGGCCAGGCACACTAAGCCGGCAGCGAAAGCTTCCTCACCCCTCTTTCCAGCCCAGGAAAGAGCTTTGCCCAAAGGCAGGTGCCTTTGAATCTCGCCAGCCTACAGCTCTGTGCAGCATGGGGCCAGTCCTCAGTGTCAAGCCACACAGCTCTGGGACATTTGCATCTGTTTTACACAAGCTTGCAGAAAGCCAGTAGTGTCTGGAGGCCTGGTAGCCAGCAGGGTGAAGCAGGGGCTGACAGAGACTTGGGGCGTTGCACCCTATGGCCTGCAGTCTCAGTGTCGCTCCCTGCACCCTGCCTTGTTCTCTGCTCAGGTCTGTGACTTGCTTCGTGGAGCCACGGTCCATAGACTCCTGGACCAGCGGGTTCCCTATGCCACCAAGGGCAACCAGTGGGTGGGGTACAGCGACCCGGAGAGCGTCAAAATCAAGGTAGGTCCCCAAGGCCATGCCCAGGTAAAGAGGGAGAGGGACAGCCTGCTCTGAGCAGCCACCACATGCGGGTCCCTTGCATGGGGGCAGCTGTGTTACCAGAGTTTCGGGCCCTGACCATGTCGGACCTCCCGTCTAGGTGCAGTACCTGCGGAACCAGCAGCTGGCGGGCGCCATGGTGTGGGCCCTGGACTTGGACGACTTCCGGGGCACATTCTGTGGTCAGAACCTGCCCTTCCCTCTCACAAGTGCCATCAAGGACGCGCTCACTGCGGCTTAGCCTCCGTCCTCCTGCAAAGGAGCCAGGTTGCCCACCCTACTGAACCTGTCACCCTCCGCGGAACCCCCTTGCAGAGGGCCACTGCTCTGAGGCCTGAGCTAGGCTCTGGTGCAGGGCCAGCAGCAGAGGATCTGGAGGCAGCACACACTGTTGATGAGTGAAACGCTCGATGGCCCCAAGCCCAGTGCAAGGGGATTTCCTCCAGCTCCCTTCCCCAGGCCTCTGTCTCAAAGGACGCCACTGGGCAAGCTCCACCACCAAGGAGCCTAACGCCACCTCTGTAGAGCCCAACTTGAACCCCCAGGAGCACAGCTGAGCCCCGCACACACACCCCCTTCCTCCGCCACAAGATGTTCAATAAAGCACCAGAGCTTCAAAGCATTGGCACTCGCTTCAGGCCATCTTTGCAGCTGCAGTGGGCTCACCGGGCTCGCCTGGCCCGTCTCCTCTGGTTTCTGCTCTCCCAGGCTTCGGTGGCCTGGGCTTGCAAAGGGGGAGGCCACCCTGGCTTCGGCCAAGACCTAGGGAGTCCCAAAAGGGGGCCAGCATCCTCAAACCCATCTGCCATGGACTTCGCCCAAGAGGGTGAAGCCGGGGAGCCATCTGGGTGCAGCGCTGGGTGAGAGCAGCTTTTTCTGCTCCCAAGGGCAGCACATGGGAGGAGGAGGGAAGCCCTTCACTCCGAACCCTCCATGTTCTCTGACGAGGGAGGTGTGGGACCCAGCCCAAGGCCAGTGTGGAGAGCCCTGACCCCAGATGCGGGCGAGGAAGGGAACACCAGTGTCACCTCACGCAGCTTCCCTTCCTCCCAGGGCTGGAGCCTGCAGCCTCGGAAGCCAGCCGTCCAGCCGTCCCCTCGCCTCCCCTTCCCGTAGCTGCATCCGCCCTCAGTCCTGCTCCTTTCTCCCCTGGGCCCTCAGCCCAACAGAGATCAAGGCTCCTCTGTCAGGCTGGCCTGGGACACGTGGGCAGCTATAAGACGTGCCACGTGTCTGAGGCGTGTCCGATGCACACTCCAAACAGGGAATCTATTCATGGACCCCCTGACGTTTGTACTGTCTATGTCTTAGCCTTGTGGTTTGTGACACTAGTTTAAGGTGTAGGGAAGGAAAGGTCTATTAGCCTCCTTGAAACCTGAACCAGTTGGAGCTGAGCAGATGCAACTAGTCCCAAGGTCACAGCCTGGCTAAAGGCAGAGCGAGTGGGAACTGGGCCGGGGCCTCGGGGGTACCTGACATTTCACTGCTGGCCCGAGGGCCAAGCATCCCCCAAACCCCGCCCCACCGCCCGCACCACCAACCGAGGGTCTTTGAAACCCAGGGGCTGTGAGCCCTCCAGGGCAGCCAGGCCTCCACCCTGCCCCCTGTACCCCCCGCCGGGGACAGGCTCTGCGGGGCTGACTCAGGGTCTTGCCCAGTTAGTCACGTTCACTTATAGCTGCAGACTCAGAGTCCAGGGATGGGAATCTGGTCTCCAGGGCCCGCCCCTGCGCACAGCACACTGAGTCACCTGGCAGAGGCCACAGGCGCTCAGGCAAGGCCAGCCAGGAGGCTCCCCAGGCCCTGCACTGCCACTCCCCAACAGGGACACCCCTGTGCCCGAACCCCAGGAAGGACACTGCCTGTGGCTGAGTAAATTACATGTGAACTGACTTCTAAGTTGTGGGCTATATCGTACGTGCTAAAGGGTGCCTGAAATTTATTTTTTTAATTTGGAGAATTATTGTATAGTGAACACTTGGACAGGAAATGGGGCCTCATCAGTCTCCTTAAACTCCACGCAGAGGCTGCCACCACCATCTGCTGTCCTCTGCACTCCACCACCTGGAGATGCCCCGGAGGACAAGAGCCTGCTGTTGTCTGCCGAGTTCCACCTGGAGGCTAACCCCATCTCCACTTTAGGTGCCAACAAACCGCACAGCGATGGGTGCCTCCTGCTGAGGGTCAGCTCTTCCCCCAGACTGTGGCCATTAAGCATAACGCTGCAGAGGGTGTTTTGGGGCATGTCTCCTGCGGCCACGTGTGGGCCGTATGCTTTCAGTTCTTCGAGGGCCATCTCACTTCCCAAAGCGTTCTCTCAGCAGCACCAGAGCTCGTTGCCTGCCCCCCTCCCTGGCACGTGGTGTTTCTGGCTTATTAAATGATCACCGATCTTAGTGTTTTATTGCGTGAATGAATCGATAACTGGAAATTTGTACCTGCCTCGTCTCCTCCATTGCAAACGCCCGAGCCATGCCCCACTTTGAAGAGTTTGGGAGTTTCAGAGTGCGGCCACCCTCCAGTGTCTCTTCCACATCTGCCGTATGACTTTAGCCCACCCCAAGGGCCAGGGGTCTGTCATCATGCTCTCTGGAATAGACAGGGAAGTGGAGGCCCAGAGAGGCGGGGACAGGGGCCTTACATCCCCTTCCTGGGGTCCCATTGCTGGAAGACCTCGCCTCGCTCAGCCCCACCTTGGCGCCCCGCTTCCCTCCCTCTCCAGGGCCTCAGCCTCAGGCCCCAGGGGATGTGAGGACAGGCGAATGTGGGACCCCAGAGGCAGAGCTGGGAGTGCTCCCCAGGGAGGCTATTTCGGGCCTCTGGGACCGAGCCCCAGGCTGAGGAGTTGGGCACAGGTGACCCCACAGAGGCCAACACACACTGAGCTGGGTTCATTCTCCAGATGGAAGCTGTCATTCCCACTGCCCTGACCCCTGGCACAGGCTCCTGGCAATGTCCCATCTCCCCAGTCTGTGCCTTCCTCCCATCAGGACACCAGCACCTGGCTACTGAGGTCCAATCGCGGTGACGGTGAGGGACAGATGGGACAGTGCACTCCTCGAGGCACCCTGGTGCAGGGTTCCTCCCCCAGAGCTATTCCTGGCCTAGGAGCTCCCCGCCCCCAGCCCCCCGCCCTGACCTGACCCCACAGCTGGGAATCGCTTCACTGGGGGTGGGGCAGCCCCTGCTATATAAGCCTGGACCTGGGTGCCCCAGGCACCCTGGAGGCCCCGACCCTCCACTGCGGACCTCTGCACACTGCAGCCTGACCCCCAGCCAGCCAAGCAATGACAGGAAAAGTCACCTCGGAGGCCCCTGCTGATGGTCCAGAGGAGAATGCCTCTGAGTTGGCCAAGGGGCCCACAGAGCCCTTGGAGGAAGTGGCAGCATCAGGGAGTCCCGGGGAAGAGCAGGCTCCTGTGGCAAGCCCTCAGGCCCCTGTCCCCACGGCCACTAAGCCTGCACCCCCAAGTGAAGGTGACAAGAAGTGGGGCAGGTGGAGGAGGGAGGCAGGGAGCTCTTGGCGTCACTTCATCCCCTCTCCTATCCCTCAGACGTGCCCAGTGCCCCGCTGCTGCTGACGGTGGAGGATGTGAGTGACAGCTCCGTGACTGTGAGCTGGGAGCCTCCGGAGAGGCTGGGGAGGCTGGGACTCCAGGGCTACGTGCTGGAGCTGCGCAGGGAGGGAGGTGAGCCGAGCCCTGCAGACGCCCAGGGGACGTGGGCTTTGGGCACAGCAGGGACAAGCCCCCAGACCCCGCCACTGGCCAGTCAGGAAACGCAGGCGGGGGAACCCACATGGCCTCGGGAGGCCCTCATCCTCCAGCTCCAGGGAGCCCCTGAGTAACAGCACAGGAAGATGGGATGCAAAAGGCACTGCTCTGATGAGAAGTGAGGGCGGTGCTACAGCTCAGCGGACCCTGCTGAGGGGGAGAGGGGTGGGTAAGCTGGAGGCAGAGCGCAGAGAAGCTAGGGGGTGGGCGGGAGACTTAGACTAAGAGACAGTGAGAAAAATAGGGAACCGGGCGCTCTGGCCAGATTCCTGCTGCCGCTGTCTGGGGTTCACTTCCACGCTCAGCCTGCGCTCTGCCTCGGCCCCTGCTGTGCTGTGTGACTTGGCAAAGGTGTCCACCCGCTCTGAGCTCCAGCAACCCCATCTCTGGCCACCATTCCAGGGCTCTAATATCAGGTGTCTTTGATGCCTTTGAAAGTGAGAAGTCAGGGACGGGGAGCCCAGAGAAAAGAGGCCCAGAGAGGGAGGTCAGCTTCGTCAGGTCACATGAGAGAAGGGAGCCCGTGGCCACAAAGCCAGAGCCCTGCGCTCTCTCCTCTCCCCAGCCTCGGAGTGGGTGCCTGTGAACGCCCGGCCCGTGATGGTGACCCAGCAGACCCTGCGGAACCTGGCTCTGGGAGATAAGTTCTGCCTGCGCCTGGCTGCTGTGAGCCCTGCAGGGGCCGGCCCGCCAGCTGTGCTGGACCAGCCTGTCCACATCCGAGAGACCATCGGTAAAGCCCGTCCTCTCATCTACTGCCCCTGGCCCTCCCAGGCACCATATCTGGAAAAACTGAGGCCAGTGGGCAGAGGGGAAAGGCGGTCATGTCCCCTGTCCCCACACAAGCCACATGCTGTCACCATCTTGCCTGAAGACAGTTCCAGGTCCTTCAGCAGTTAGGGGCCTCTGGAGGTCCAAGAGGCCATTTCCCTGAGTGGCCGAGCCTCCGAGCATTAGAGGAAGGGCTTCCTGACCCCAGAAACGAAAGCTCAAGCTCCCCAGGCCGCCGGCCTCAGGTCCAAGAGCCAGAATCATCCCACTCTTCCTCCTTTCTAAGCTCAATTCCTCCAGCGGTCGTGGAAGCCGTTTCTGCCCTGTGTCTGTTCGTTTCCTACGGTCTGGGCTCCAGGTCTCCCACAGGTGTGGGGCCAGAGCAAAGTCTCTGCTCACACCTGGTTCCACCATGTCCCTGGTGGGAGGAAGCCAAGGGCCCGTGAAGGTTTCTCCGTTCCCAGAGGGCAGCACCGCACTGGGGACCTGGGAGGCCAGCTGTTGTCCCTTGCTGAGATTTCTATTTGCAGGGTGCATTAGCCTCAAGCCTACCCTTGCCTCCGTCCCAGAGCTGGTCGGGTTTCAGTCTGTTAATGGCAGTGAGTCATTCGGTCTAATCCAAGGTCTCTGGGGATGGCCCAGGGTCCCAGGTGAAGAGAGACACAGACCAGCAGGTGGTCTGAGGCCTTCTCCACCCAACCCTTGCTCCCTCTCCCCACCCCCCAGAGAGGGAGCCCACGATTCTGGCCTCCAGAAAGGGGTTTCATGGCCACGGGAGGGGTCAAGTTTGGATTCAGGGAAATACTTCTCAACTCTTAAGTCATGAGGGATGTGGGACCCATGCGGAGCGTAGAATCGTGGACTGTCACTGCTGGTCCGAGAGGCCCAGGGACTCTCTGGAGGTGACCCAGCCTATGGTGGCAGCCCTGCCAGGACCCTATTCCACACAGGACCAGCCACACCCTGCCAGGTGGCAGGGGGTCTGCTCAGTGGTTTTCAGAACCACCAAGGGTCCTGGACCTCCTCCAGAGGCCCCAGAGAGCTGCGACTGAGACGCCGCAAGAGCCCAGGCCTCCGCTCCGAAGCCTGACACTGGCAGCCAGACTCGGCACCCACCACTCCACCGAGATTCCTCTGGCAGGAGACAGGGGGGTTTCCTGGAGAGAACAGTGGGAGGCGGCCGTGAGCACACAGGGACAGCCAGGCCGTCCTCACGGGCAGGGCAGGGTGGAGGCCTGCCCAGGGTCCTCGGCTGCGCAGCTGTCCATGCTTGGTCACCTGCAGCTGCCAAACGTTCCGTGCCTGATGCTTCCAGAGCCAAGTGCCACACAGCTAATCCTCAGAGACACAGTGTCCCTTCACTGTCCCCTCCCATCCGCCCTGCGTGCCACCAACTGCTGCCACCTGTTTGCTACTGAGAAGCCTCAGTCACCACCACCCCAGGCCAGCAGGCAGGGGAGACAGTGGCCGGGACTGCGGCAGTGTCCCTCGGAATGCCAGTGGCCTCGGGGGCTGCACCTGGTTAGGCGACAGCCAGGGAGGTGGTCTGATTTGGGGAAGGACTTCCCAACTGTGAGACTGAAGGTGGGCAGGGGTGACAGAGGAAGAAGAGGGTATGTCTGCTCTGGTGTCATTTAGGAAGGGACAGATCCTTAACCCTCCCGTGACCTGGGCACAGGACAGTGGGCAGAAGGGACACAGGGTCCCTTATAGGCAGCGTGCTGGGTTGGGGGGCAGAGGCTTTGCCCTCATTCTGGGCACGCAGGCTGCAGGCGCAAGCAACCCCAGCCTGGCAGGATCCAGGCGCCCAGCTCTCACACCACAGGGACCTCCTGGCTCTCAGGTCCCCAGGCTCCTTGGGGTTTGGGCCCCTGGGCCTCGGGAGCAAACCCTGCCCTTCCCACAAGGAGGTGACCCCAGGACGCAGCCAGGAGCCCTCGCCCAGCAGCACCCACTGCTGCACTGAGCCTGGACTCTCGCTTTGATGCAGAGGGCCCCAAGATCCGTGTCCCCCGTCACCTCCGTCAGACCTACATCCGCCAGGTGGGACAGACGGTCAACCTGCAAATCCCCTTCCAGGTGGGTGTCTCCTGCCGCGCGTGAGTGCGGTTGGACATCAGGCCCCCATCTGAGGTGGTCGGAGGAGCCCAGAAGATGTGAGGATCCCTGGGGGTGTCGGCCACCAAGATGGCCCTGCCCACCTGCCCTGTCATGCACATTCTCCAGCCTGTGGACAGGACAGTCTGTCCCAGGCTGGCTGGACACCTGGAGGGTGGGGCTCTGGGCAGCACCTGGGGCTCCAGCGCCCGCTGCCCCTCGTGGGCAGGGCTGTTGGGTGGCTCCCAGGACACAGCCCCAGAGACCTGGAGTTGGGGGGGGGGCGGGTGCCTGGTTCCTCCTTCACAACAGGTCTTCTCCCCCCCAGGGGAACCCCAAGCCTCAGGCCTCGTGGACCCACAACGGCCACGCCGTGGACAGCCAGCGGGTGAGCGTGCGCACTGGGCAGCAAGACTCCATCCTCTTCATCCGCTCAGCCCAGCGCTCAGATTCAGGCTGCTACGAGCTCACCGTGCGGCTGGAAGGCCTGGAGGCGAAGGCCGCCGTCAACATCCTGGTGACTGGTAGGCACTGGGAGGCTGCCCGCCCTGGACCCTGACCCCTACCTATTACCACAGAGTGACCACACGGGGTCCGGCCATGGCGTGAGAGAGGAACAAGATGTTGGGTGCCGGGCTCTGTGGCAGGTCCAGCCCCCACCCCAGTCCCTCTCACACTCTGGGCCTGCAGAGAAACCTGGACCCCCGAGCAGCATCAAGCTACTGGACGTCTGGGGCTGCAATGCTGCCCTCCAGTGGACGCCGCCCCAGGACACAGGCAACACGGAGCTTCTGGGCTACACGGTGCAGAAGGCAGACAGCAAGACAGGGGTGAGGCTTCCTAGAGCAGATGGGGGGAGGGCAGCCCCCCGGGAGACCAGCGACTGAATTCTAGTCTACCTGCAGCTAGCCTGGCTCCTCGTGTGGCTTTTGGCAAGATCTGTTTCCCCCTGAAGACTGCCAGGGAAGCTCTCTGAGGCCCTTCAGACTCTAGGTGGCCCTTCTGGAAATGTCATGAGCATAGGGATCACCCAGGAATCTTGCTGAAATGCAGATTTTAATTCAATACATTCAGGGTGGAGCTGAGAGCCTGTGCTTCTGAGAAGCTCTCAGCTGCTCACAGTTTGCAGGTGCTCGGCCCACACTTTAGTGCAAGCCTCCAGAATTCTCTGAGAACCCCAGAGAGGTCATCTGAACGACCCAGGGGCCCCTTCTCCCAATTCAAAGTTCCTCAAGCCCAAGGCTAGAAGGTTCAGCCCCCGCAGGGACTGGGCACAGAAGGAACGCTCTGAGGGCGGGGCGGGGGGCGGGCTGAGAGGGGAGATGACAGGCCGGCCGGCCGCAGCAATGGTTCACAGTGCTGGAGCGCTACCACCCGACAACCTGCACCGTCTCCGACCTCGTGGTGGGCAACTCCTACTCCTTCCGGGTCTTTTCGGAAAACCTGTGTGGACTCAGTGCCTCGGCCGCTGTCACCAAGGAGCTTGCCCACATCCAGAAGGCAGGTGGGTCTGGGCCGGGACCAACAATGCGGGTTCCCCCCTCGCATCTCTGTCTTTTCCTTGATGTGGCAGCTGCCCTCCCTGTGGGCTTCTCACCGGTGCTGCCCTGTCCACACCCACACACAGCAGCAACCGTAAAGAAACGGATGTGGGGATTGATTTAACAAACGCATCAGAGCAGACCCATGCCAACAAGAATTACCCCTCAGGAGGATGTGTATTTATTCTAAAGATGCAAGTGGCTGCTAGCATCATAGGGGTGGTTGGGTCTCACGCGCATGTCCCAGGGGAACCGTCTGAAGGGCAACGAGTATGGATAGTGAACTCTGGCAAGTGTGCTGCAAGCACAGCCCTCGCAACCCTAATATGACCCACACAGATGGACGAGAGAGATACGAGTATCCACTGTCTCCACACAGGGCATGGCCCCCTGTGCCAAATGTGAAATTCCAAGCCCTTTCTCCCTGTCACCCTGCGTGCTCCAGGGCCCTCCCCCACACACAGTCGTGGAGGCTCCGGAAGGCACACTCTTTCTAACTCCAGCCTGAGATGTGCGGAGTTAGGAGGAAATTTTTATTGAAAAAGGAGAGCCAGTCAGGTCTGCAGAGACAAACAGACATGAGAAGTGGTCTCCGGGCTGCTGCTCTGCACCCTTCGTCACCTCTCTGGCCTTCCTGCCACCCAAGCATGGTCTCAGCTTCGCCCCGTTGAGACATTCTGCGTCTGAACTCTGCACACTGGCCATGCCTGGCTTCCTAACGGCCCTGCCCCAGGGCCTCAGAGGAGGCGTCACGATGAAATGGGCTGTCTCCCGCCTGGTGATGCCCAGACCTCCCTCCCGACCATCGGCTCTCTACCCGGAGAGCCGGAGTCATCACGTGCTCGTCCACCCTGAAGTCACTCATCCTCTAGGGGCCGTATTTCCCATCTGTCACGTGGGGACAACAGTTACCCTTGCAGAGGGGTGCTGTGCAGTCTAAGTGACATAGCTGGGTGGAAGCTATAGTGATTATCTGAGGGAAAGGGGTGAGATCAGTCCTAAGGGGTCTCCTTCTGCAACACACATTCACCCCATTTTCTCCCTGAACCCAGAAATTATTGCCAAGCCTAAAGGGTTTGTGGAGAGAGACTTCTCAGAAGCCCCTTCGTTCACCCAGCCCCTGGCTGACCACACTTCCACCCCTGGCTACAGCACGCAGCTCTTCTGCAGTGTCCGGGCGTCACCCAAGGTGAGGGGGCGGTGGGGGCGGTGGGCTGAGGGGTCTCACCAGGCATGTCCACCTAGGCCTGAGGACGGCCTCGGAGGGCCGCGCCCAGCCCCCCACCTGCCAGGCCTCCTGTGACATTGCTCCCCCAGCCCAAGATTGTCTGGATGAAAAACAAAGTGGACATCAAGGGCGACCCCAAGTACCGCGCCCTCTCGGAGCACGGCGTCTGCATCCTGGAGATCCGGAAACCCAGTCCCTTTGATTCCGGCATCTACACCTGCCAGGCCACCAATGTGCTGGGGGAGGCGTCTGTGGACTGCCGGCTCGAGGTCAAAGGTGAGGGCTGATGAGGGTGTCTCCATGGATGGGAGGGCAGAAGTCACCTCTTCCGTGGAACGGAGGCAGCTGAGCGCTAAAAACCAAGGCAAGACAGAGGGCAACAGACAGAGACCCGGCCGTCAGGACTTTCCACGAGGGAGTATGGCCCACCGTGGGCAAAGCAGTGGGGTGCACCTTGAGCCTCCCTCATCCTTCCTTCCCTGCTTGGGTTCCCAACACCCACCCCCCAACCCCAGCGCTGACCTGTGGGATCTCTTCCAGCCTCAGCCACACACTGAAGAGCAGCTGGAGGAGGCTCTGACGAAGAGGAAGGTAATCGGCTGCACTTGCCCCGCCCCCGCCACTGCCTCTGGGGTGGGGTGAGGAGGGGGGCGGCCACACACGCAGTCTCAGGGTGTCTCAGAGACGTGAGGACAGCGTGGCATGCAGGCGATGCCAGTGAGGCCTGGATGGCAGTGACTCGGAGGACGGTCTAGGCCTGGCTCTGAGTGACCTGAGGCCAGGGCTCTCTCTTGGACCTGTCTTCCCATCAGAAAAGTGGGGACAGCGATGTGTGCCTGCCTTCCCTGAGCAGATGGTTCTAGGCCTCTGGACAGTGAGGACGTGCGCAGAGCTCAGGCCCGGGCACTGGACCCCAAGGGAGGGAGGTCTGGAGGGCTGCTCCCCGCCCCGTCCCACCTCTTCAGCCCAGCTCTGCCCACACCAGGGGCTCTTAAAGCATGTGATCTGCCAGCTGCTGAGGGCCTGGGACGTCAGGCATGTCAGGCCCACCAGGACCAGGACCAGGACCAGCTCTGTGGATGACCCAGACCCCCATTTCCGTGGTGACGGCTGATGGCTCTGCTCCAGCCTCCTTCCCCCAAGTCTGGAGCCTGGAACTCAGGAGCGGGCCTGGCAGAAACCAGCCCCGGCTTTCCGGGCACGAGGGGCACTGGAAGATGCCGACACCAGAGTGCCTCTGCAAAGGGTTGTGTGCCGGGCGAGAAGCAGTCAAATAAAGGTGTGTGGTGTGACAGTGCAGGGGCGTCTGTGACAGCGAGCGTCATCGTGTTGGGTGCCTCCACGTATGACATTGTGAAGGTACCAGTGGGAGGGGACCCAAGGAGTCATTGGGGTTTTCCAGACGTGAGATTTTTCAGGCTCTTGTTTTCACATTCAGAGCTTGCTACCCCACGATGACAAGGACAAGGACAAGCCCTTCCCTGGAGCCCTTCGTGCTCTGATGGCCTCCATATGCCCCCTCCCACTTCCCACCCGCCCCACCACGGCTTCCTCCGAGCCGAGGCTGTCTGTCCTCCTCTGAGGTGGTGGGGGCGGGTGGCCCGCCGTGTGCTCTCCATGAGGGTTCAGTCTCTGATTAGCCAGGTGGCCTTCCCTGGGAGCCAGGAGACAATGCACCTCTGAGAGAGGGAGGGCCTGGAGTAGCCGCTCACACTCAGAACCACGCCCTCACCCTTCTGTGCAAAGGGCTTTGGGGTCGGCAGGGGGCAAACCTTCCCCAGGTGCCTCCAAACCCCTGAAAACTGGGTTGCATGCCAGGGGTACTGAGGGTAGATGCCAGCAAGCCCTTCTCACCCACACTCTCAGGAGGAGGGTCTCTGTCCTGTTCCAGCCTGTCACACCTCATCCCACCAGCGCCCACAGTCAGCCCACAGTCTCTTGTACACTTCCTCCTGGCAGAATGCTCCCAAGAGCTGGCGTGCCTCCATCAGGCCCAGAAGCAGCATAGATGGGTGTCACCTAGGAGCGTCCAGGCCCGTCTGCGGGGACTGGTGGCCCTGGTGGCCCAGATGACAAGCGGTTAACACTCCAGTCTCCTCTCCGGGCTGCTCAAGGCTGCCACCTGATGGCTGCATGAGGCTACACCTCCACGTTTGCTCTGGGGGCAAAGGCTGGTGTAGAATCAAGCTCCTTCTGCATCCCCCAAGTCTAATCCTGGGCTTCTCGGGACAAGGAGAGAAGGCGCCCTGGCAGCCAGCATGGCTGGAGGCACGGGGTCCCTGGCAGGTGGGGACTGAGGCTCCTTGACTGCGGCCCTCAGTGGCTCTGGCCACCTTCTCCGACAGAAAAGGAGAGAGAACAAGGCCAAGACGCCCGGTCTCTCCCCCTCACTCCATCCTCTCCTGTCTTTAAGCTTGGTCCCTGTAGGACAAGCAGCTCCCCTCCATGTCCACAGGCCCTTCTCCGTCCCAGTGTCCCCAGGCCCCACCCAGCCTGAAGCCGGGGTTGCCCTTAGGATGGTCTTGCAGGTGGGGAGACTCCAGCCACTTTCCTCCTCCCCTCAGGTTACCTGTTCCCTTCCCCATGGGCTGCCCCCCAAACCTCGCCCAGAACCCAGAGGTGCAGGGAATCGCCAGGGGAGGCTCCCAGAGCCAGGTGGGACAGCGGGGCGCTGCGGCTGGGCCGGATGCTCTGGGTGTGGGCAGCTGGGAGCCCACAGAGGACGTCGAGTCTAGTCAGCAGGCCTCTCTTCTGGGGCCTCGTCAGTGGGGGGCGCTGGCTGGCAGCGGAAGTGGTCGTTCCAGATCTTCAGGAAGGTGACACGAAACTTCTGGATGCGGAAGGCATAGACAATGGGGTTCATGGCCGAGTTGCCGTGCGTGAGGAAGATGGCGATATAGATGAGGACGCTGGGCTTGTGGCAGGAGGGGCAGAAGAGGGTGATGCAGTTGAGGACGTGCAGGGGCAGCCAGCTGAGGGCGAAGAGGACGAGGACGAGGGCCAGCGACTTGGCGATCCTCAGCTCCTTCCCGTAGTACTTCTGCGGGTCGCCCGTGGAGGCCGACACCTTCTTGGCAAGCTGCTTGCGGATCAGGTGGAAGACCTCCAGGTAGATGAGCACCATGAGCAGCAGGGGGGGCAGCACCCACACGAAGAAGTTGAAGTACACCATGTACTCCATGCTGATGACCTTCTCGAACTCGCACTTGATCACGGGCTCGCCCACGCTGCCGTTGGCTGCCCAGGCCCGCTGCACCTCACTCAGGTTGTTCCAGCCAAACATGGGTGTCAGGCCCACCAGGAAGGACAGGATCCAGCAACCGGCGATGGCCACCACAGCCCTGCGCGGCGTCACCACCTCCTTGTACCTGGGGAGAGGAAGGCAGAAGTGAGGCCCCGCTCCGCGCAGGCCCAGCGCTGGGGAGGTGCTGTCTTGGGGTGACAGGACCTGAGATTTAGGCCAGAGCTGGCCATGCGCAGAGGTTAATGACAGAAATCATGAGAGAAAGCTAAGGACGCTGTTTAGGAGTTTTAATAAAATCGGCAAAGTAAAAATCGCTCGCGTGTGCTTGGCACTCCCTGTTGGCAGTGCCGCTTTATGGCAGCCCTCATGGGGTGGAAGGGGCGTGGCTGCCCAAGGCCACACAGAAGGCAGCAGTGCTGTCCTGAGCCTCCTAACATGTGTCCACACTGGCCAAACACACCCCCTTAGGCCAGCTGGCATGACGGTCTAAGAAGCCTGCACCACTCGTCCTGCAGGCCGTGTGCCACCCCCGGGCCACTGCCCCCTCCCCACCCCCCGTTTGACTCCCCTCCCCTATAGCCACTGTACGGGGCTCGTCTCCTGAGGGGCTGATCTCAGGGCTGAGCGCAGCCAGGACGACTGGGAGTCAGCCTCAGCAGAGGAGACGAGGCGGAGGCTCACTGAGTGCTCACCACACGGACGGATTGCACCTACGTGGCATAGGCGCTGCCTGCCAGCCGCACGGTTCTGAGTGTTCTGTTAGCGACCAGATAGGATCCCGCCTCACCGCAGCTCGCATTTTAGGATAACACAGGTAACACAAAGGTAAGGAAGTGAGCCAACAAGACAACTACAGTTTGTGACATGTCCTTTGAAGGAAACACAAGGGACGATGTCAAGGGACAGGGCTACCAAGCTTTCACATGTCAGGACCAGGACACACACAGAAGATGAAAACATTTGAATAAGATGAAAACTGATGGGGCTATCCATGAGCGTGACGGCTGCCCACCCCCTACTGAGGGCTGAGGGTTTCAGTGTCCCCACGTCCCTCTAAAGCGACGCTGCCAGCAGCCAGCATGCCCTCTGCCCACACGCCGGCCTTGGAGTGCGTGCCAAAGGCTGGCCGCCCATCTCTGTGCCGAGAAGCTGGCTCAGCACAGCAGTTGCCCAGTTGTTATTTTCCAAGGCAGTTCCCATTACGCACGGAGGGCACTCCTGGGCGTGCCAACAGCTACTGGACCCCCCCGTGGGAAGGGTGCTTTCTCCCTCAAAGCGATCCTTCCGGCCCCTCTCATCCTGGGCGCCTTTCCAGCCAACCAAGCCCACTGCTCCGTGAAAGCTTTATGTGAATGGAGGGAAAGTGGTTTGGGGGTGGGAGGAGTCAGGGGCGTCCCGCCCCATCGGGAAAGCGAGCACTAGATGGGACCTTGGGAACTTCATTTCCAACTTCCTTATCTTTCCAATGGGGACACTGAGGCCCCTGGACGACTCCCACACCTTGGGTGCAGTGGTCCCTCCCCTACACTGTGATCATAGCGTACTTGTGTCTCCAAAGCACCGAGGGGCCTTGAAAGCTGCCGGGGGTTCTCTTAGCTCTAGTCCTTGCTCTCTGGCTGTAACCGAAGCCCATCCCCTCCTCGTGGGTCCCCAGCAGGGTGACCTTCCTGGAGTCAGAGGTCCAGATTTGGATCCCAGGTCTGCAACCAACTAGGTCAGGTGTTCCTCCGTAAAATAGGATAGTGGGACCTACTTCCAAGTGTGAGGACCAGAAGATGTGACTGTAAATAGCCCAGCATCCTGTGCTTGGGCTCCCACACATCCAAGGCCCTGGAAACATTCACACCTGGAAAACCTCCAGTGTCTCAGCCACGGCTTGTGTGAACATCTGGCTCAGGGCCTGCTCCTGATGGCCTCAGAGTGACACAGTCTCTGGGCGTGAGTCAGTGGGACAAGACCAAAAGAGCACAGATCATTTTGTCAAGAGAGAAGAAAGTGAGGGACACGGGTCCCCAGGGCCGGCCTCCGCGGGACCATATGGGCTGCAACCGAGGGGCCAGGTACCGCTCATCACAGTCATTGCTTACACAGCCCTTTCACATTCATGCCTCAGGGAACCCCCACAGCCATCTTGTGAGGTGACTGCAGCACAGACGGAATCCCCCTTTCACAGATTATACTTTCAAGGCCCAGAAATGGGCAATAACTTGCCCAGGTATCCTGACTCCAAGACCACCTGTCCTTGAGGCAACAGGCTCACGGTGAGTCACCTGGAGGCGGGGAATGTCCCTTTCTTGTGAGCTTCCAAGTGGGAACGTCTGGACCTGTTCAGAGAGGGCACCACCCAGAGATGTGGGGGGACAAGGTGACGTCTTGTGCTGTCCAGCCTGAGGACTGGGGGGATAGAGCCCAGGTCCCACATGTGGACAGTGATGACCCACTGAGAGAGGAGTGGGTACTGACAGTGTCCCAAGTGGGAGAGGACGGGGAGGCAACTTCTAGCTCGAGAGGTGCCCCCCTCCTCCCCAGCCTTTCCCGACTGCCTGGAGCCCCAGGGTTACAGCTTTCCTGGGGTTCCTCCAGGGTCAGGTCCCAGCAGACCCTGCAGCTTAGGGTATCAGTTCTCATCTGTTTTTCTTGCTATTTTCTCCGTGGTGGGAAACGGCTGCACCCAGGACCTTGGCTGAGGTGGGGCAGGCTCTCACAGGAAGGGCCGGGAGAAGCTCACCTCTCCCTACATGTGGGAGAGAGAAGCAGAGGCTGCAAGTCCCGGGGTGAACAGAGGTGGGGGTGCTGAATGTGCCTCCAGCACTCAGGGATGTCCCTCCCAAATCCAGCAAAAGGCCTCGCCTCCCTACTGGGAACCAGCCAGTGAGGGGCCGCCATCAGGGCTGTGCAGTCTCCACCAAGTAACAGGAGGCCCTCCGTGGGGCCTTTGTACTTACTGCTCATCTGCCCCAGTCGGGGAAGGCTCGCCTGTCATTCAGATGTCACCTCCTCAGGGAAGAGCCCTGACCACCACACAAAAGTCCCAGCCCTCCACAGCTTTTGTGGTCTTTGACTTTCTTGACAGAGCTGGTCACTTCCTGACTCTCTCCATAGGACACACACCTGTTCCGTCCTCCCCAGGAGAGTCAGATCATGAGGGCAGAGCCTTTCCTTGGCAGGCTCACCCATGAGTGCATCTCAGGGAACCCGAGATAAAGATTAGAGGTAGGTGCTCAATCGGAGAAGGTCATAGGCTTAGCGCTGCAAGCCATCACGGCACCCTGGGAGAGAGAAGTCCCCTGTGCATGTCCCGGCTGGGAGCTGTGGGGAACTTGCTGCTGAATCCAACGACTGCTGGTCCCTGCTTACATTCTACAACAGAAGGCTGCTCGGATGAGGGCCTCTTCTGAGAGGCCAGCCTCCAGCACGTCCATGGCAGCCTGAGCCCCGTGTTGCCCCTGCAACGGGAGGCGAGCAGTGGCTCCTGGGCCAGACCCGGCCTCCCTGGAGCCTTCCAGCCTGCAGCCCCAAGAAGCCATGTCTCCATCTCAAGCTAAACCCCAGCAGCAGCCATGAGCATGCCCAGGACCCCCACGGGTCCTTCGCCTCGTGAATAGGCCCCTTTCGCAGTGAGATCAATTCCAGTGGGAGGCCGGACGGTCCACAGAGGGCCGGCCGCTCGCTGCCTACCCAGGAGGGCTCTTCCCAGACACCACTGGGACAGACTTTTAGGCTGAATCTGAGAACACAAACAGTAAGCCTCCTTAGAACATCAGGTGACGAGCAGACCATGGGACCTGGACAGGAAAGGGCATCTGACAGTGGGGGTGGGGGGTGAGGGGGCATGGAGGCCTGAAAGCACTCTCCTGACAGAAGCAGGCTGCATGCTGCCCCCTGGGCTACCCCTGCTCACCCTGCGCTGCCGCTCTGTGTCACGGGGCACTGAGCCCCCTGCAGGTAGCATTTCCCGAGCACTTGGGTCAACTGTGCCCAAGGCAGGCACTGGGGTGCCAGAGGTAGGGGAGAGAAGCCAGGATATCTCGTCCCGTCCGCCTCTGGGCAGACGGTGTCACACACAGTCAGTCTCCTCCTCGGCTCCACCTCCCAGCAGACAGGCCCAGGTTCCGGGTTCAGCCAGCCCCGCCCCCCAAAACCCCCCTCCTGTGTCTTGCAGCCTGGCCTGGGGGCTGCTTCCTGTTGTTGCTAGTCTCTGGGTTCCCTCACTACCCCCATCTAGCCTCTCAGATGCTTCATCACCTGAGTGACCAATTCCTGGCATCAAATGCCTTCAGTTGTAGACACCTGAATGATTCCTGTGCTCCTGGTTAGGCCCCATGTTGGAAGGATGTTGGAGCACAGTCATCACAACGTCCCTGCTAGTGGGACGAGAGAACAGACATGTCCTCAGAAGAAAGCGCGAGGGCCCGCACGATGGGCTTGGAAAACCAAACATGGCTGTGTTTGAAGCCAGGGGTGATGCAGTGTCCTCAGCTGCTGGGATCCGGCCTGGCCGTCCCTTTGTTGGTCACCTGCTCCTGGCCCAGGCGCTGGGGCCGAGGGCTGCGTGGGGGGCTGGTAGGGGTCCGCGCCCTGGGCAGTCCCGCATCCATCCCCCCCCCCATGGCTCTGCTCCCCTCCTTCCTGCCTGCTGATCAGAGTCTCAGCCACTTGTAACTGGAAACGTAGATCTCAGCACCAGGGAAGTGGGACTTTCAGACTATTAAACTACTTCCTGCAGAGAAATGCTTCCTCCCAAAGAAGAGAAGAAAGCCAGATACGATCACAAGCTCCAGGAGCCAAATATTTGCTGCCCAGAGGGGTCTGGATGGGGGGAGAGTGGGGGCAGAATGTCTGGGTGCCAATAATCCTGCTTTGAGTCTTGCTTCTTCAGGCCCTGAGGCATCACCCACCATCTCTGAATATCAGTGTCAGGACCATCTGACACCCCAGGGCCGGCCTGCAGAGCTGCAGGGGAGGGAGAGACACTCCGAGCTCCTTGAAAGAAAAGAGCTGAATAAATTGATTAGGTTATTAGTGTAATGGGCTTGGTCACTGGCTGAGGACAAAGAACTGCACAGGCGGTGGGAAACACACGGAAGTCTCTGTGTCCATCTCCCCGCCCCCACCCCCAGCTTC